CTGCCCCTGGCAGTGCCATGCCCCCAGGCCTGGGCGCCATTGTCTCCTCCATCCTGCCCTGATGGAGCGGGGGCTCACCCGCTGGCACAGCTGGGATGCCACCAGCACCCTGCTCCCTCTGCCTGGGTTTTCTGCCAGCAGGAATGGAGGATTACTCGAGCTGCCCCAGCTCCGGTGATTCAGCCAGCCTCCGGCCCGGAAACCCACACTCCGGCCCGGAGCAGGAAACCTGGCGGCTGTGGAGAGGCCAGGCTGGCCCCGGCTGCGACAGCGGTGCTCAGGCACCGCGATCCTGGCTCTGGCACCCACAGCCCCGGGCGACCTTCTTCTGTAAAGCTAGATATATAGGTGAAGCAATATATATATATATGCTTTTTAATATATATATAAAAATCAATTTATATATTGTTCCATACTAAGGAGCAATATATATATAAATAGAAAAAAAAATATTTTTATATATATGCATTAGAAATATAAAGTATATACATATAAGCCTACTGCCTCCCCTGGGCAAAGCCTAAGCATTCATCTCGGAGCAGAGGGCAGCTGCCTGCACCTGGGACGTCACCAGCAGGGACACTGGGGTGACCTGTCCCAGGGCCTCGGTGACAGGCCTTCCTCCCATCCCATCCCAAGCCCAGTCGCCAGCTCCGGGGGGAGGGTCCCTCCAGCATGTGAGGACCAATCCCCTCCCATCACCCTGGGCTGGGGCAAGAGGGAGGGTAAAAACAAAACCCCAAGACAGGACAAAGCACAGCAAAATGGGCAGCTCGCACGCAAGCCCAGGGTAGCACCAGGGCAACAGACTCTGAAAGTCGCAGCTGGTCCCTCCCTTCCTCTATTTTTATGCAAGCCCTGAAAAAAATATAAAGCTGCCGAGCCCTGCCCTGGCCACCCTCACCCTGGCTACTGGCTCACCCAGGCAGGATCTTGTGCAGGCAGCTGCCTGCATGATCTACCCCTGTGTGACCCAGCCCAGGTGGGGTGTGAAGCGAGCATCTTTGCCCCAAGGTTTGCACCTCCAGCACTGAAAACCACTGGGGATCAACATGATCAACTCACCAGCGCCTTTCCCCTGCCCCAGGCGCCTTTGCAGACTCTTAACGGCTCCTGAGCAGCTGAGAAATCCTTTTGCTTTCTTAATCCTCCGAAGAAAGATCAGGAATTAGGGGCTCTGAACATGGCTATCACTTGCCTGCTGATGATCCTGCATCCCCCCCAAGCACACCAGCTCCCGTGGGCAGGGAGGTGGGCTGGGCAAAACCTGACTTCCACCACTGCCCAGCAGAAATGGCTGGTGACTCCAGTAGTCTGAGCCCTGGCAGTGCCGAGGAACCACCGATGGCACCAGGAGCTGCTGCATGGGACAGATGCTCCAGGTATTTTCAGGTGCTGCCGGTGGCTCATGGCCTCTCCCAGCACCAAAACCTTGGGAGGTTGTTGGCTTCCAGCACCTCTGGAGCAGGGAGGAGGAGATTGCTTTGGGGGAGGGGGGGGTGACATTGGTTCATTTGGGTCTTCTCCTCGTCAGAGACTGGAGCTTCAAACTATCCAGCACACAACCTATTTGCCAGAGGCAGCTAATGGCAGAGGAAAACCTCCAGGCAGCAGCAGGTGCTGCAGGCAGGAGCAAGTGCTGTGCCCACACCTCCAGCACCAGGTGCCATCGGCAGGGTCCTGCCTGCCCCAAGGTCCATCCCTTTCCAGCTCACCTGCTGCGGCGGAGGAAAGGCAGAAGTGGGCTCACGGCCACACACCAGGCACAGCACTGGGCCAAGGCGGCTTCACTGGTCAGCCCCAAGCCCTCTGCAGTGCCAGTGGTCGGCACAGTCCTACGCTCCCACTGCCACTGCTGCATGCTGAGACTGGTTCTCTCTACACCGTGTCCTGCTCGGCTGCGCCGGCAGCTCAAAGCCACAGCCGTGGGATGGCACAAGACTCCAGCAAAAACACACGGTGCTTGGAAGAGGCATCTTCTCTTCATGCCGCAGGCTGATTTGGCACAAAGGGTGAAGTTATTTTTCTGCTTATTTATTTTCCACCCTAATTTTTCTCCCTATTTCTGGAGGGCACAGGTGGGCTGCAGCTCCCAGGGAGGACTGCAGAGCTCTGCTTTGCCAAGCACACCCAAGAGCCATGGTGGTCACCAAAAAGCACCTGTCTGGGCTCACGCAAGGCCCTGGTTCTCCTCAAAGCTTCCTCTGACCATGGGAAAAAAAACCCACCAAACTGTAGGAAGGGCGGACAGCAGGGACGTGGAGGCATCCCCTGCTTCATGTCCCCACTTTGAGCGGTTCTTGCAGAGGAGGGGATGCCGGGAGCAGCAGACCCCGGGGGAACAATGCTGGCCCCACCTCCGCAGCCGCTCCCTGCCAGTTTGGGAGGATTTTTCAGCTGCGGCTCAGCTCAGAAACTGGCAGTAGTGACTCAAGGCTCCAGCGCTATTAACACCTGAACAGCTGTGAGAGGAAAATGTAAACATTGAAAAACAAAACAAAACAAAAATTAAGAGCCATTTCTCTCTATTTCTGGCTTTAGAAACTAGCTGAGATCAGAAATGCTGCTCATAAATGTTGGCCCCAGCAGAAGGGATCGCAGCTGTTCTCCTCCTCCTGCCTCCACTTCAGCACAGAGCGGGACACGGGAAAGCGATGCCGGCTGGCCCATGCCACCGTCCTCACCGACTGGCAAGCCCCCGGCCGCCCCTCGGCGATGCTCAGAGCCAACAGTGCCGGGGTGATGCTCCCCATCCCGGCCAGTCCCTGGAGCCCTGCGGAAAGGCGGTGCCAAGCTCCGCCGGCCAGCTGCACCCCCAGCACCATTATTTCATGTCAGGCAGCAGTTCGAGAGGGGCTGAGCCGGCAGCAAGGCCGGGTGTGGGAGCAGCTCGCGGTGAAGGGGGACCACGTGTTTCCCCAACAGCCTGCAAAGCCCGTGGGGTTTCTCGCCACCGGCGCCCTCCCCTCCCCGGAAACAAGCGGACGGCGAGCTTGCACAACCGAGGAGCCCCCCCCTCGACAGCACAGACCCCCGGCCTGGTCCCCCCCTCCCACCCCGGGATGGGTCTTGTCACCAGCACGGCTCACACCAAGGCAAAAATTAAACAAAAATAAAACCAAAAAACAGAAGAGCTCTATTAAACGAGCGTTTCAAGGCGTTAATTACGTATTTCTCAAGGCAGGCAGGGGTTGAGCAAATAAAGGGCTGCCGGATTTCGGCGTGACTTCCTGCTGCCGGCAGCTTCCTCTGCCGACGGCAACGAGCCGAAAGACATTTTCTGCCGGCGCTCCCCTGGCAGCAGCCGGGGATTTCTCTGCCTGTCCCAGGTCCTGCCGCCCCACGGTGCCGTGGGAGCCCCACGCACTCCCGCGTCACACCCGGAGCGAGGCTCTCCCTGGGAATTTCGGAAAGGGAATAAAAACCCCAACTGGGAGTTATTAAAAAAAATAATAAATCAAAATAAATAAACGGCTGCCTTGCCCGCAGGCACAGGGCAGGTCTGTGAACGCCCACAGGAGCATCGCTGGGGCGCTTTGAAGAGCGCGAGCGGCCCGTTATCGGTATGAAAATCGGGTATCCATGGGGCAGAGCGCCCGTGGGCTGTGCGGGGCCCTGCCCGCTGCGGGCAGCACATGGGGCAGAGCCTGCTGCCCGACCCCCCGTCCCAGGGGAGGGCAGGATGGAGGGGCTCGGGCCTGTCCCGGCACCCCGGCGGGCGGAGGCACGGCAGCGGGTGACCGTTGGTCCTGTCACCACCATCCCAGTTGGCCTGGGGCCGGGGGAGCCCATGGAGGAGCCCCCCAGCTGGGCATGTGGGGGTCCCGGGCAGGCAGGATGGGGTGTCCAGACCTGCAGGGCCTTTGCTGGGGGGGCACAGCTGCCGGGAGGGTGAGGATGTCCTCCGGCTGTGCCCCCACAAAGACACGGGCTCAGGCTGTGGACACTGACAGGGTTGAGGGGACAGCAACTGCAGTGGGTTGGGGCTGGCACCCCACTTCTGGGGGGAACCCCACGGCCCAGGGTGGGGCTGGCTCCCCGCTCCTAAGCGACACCCAAGGCTTGCTGTAGGGCCAGCACCCCACTCTCAGGGGGATCCTCAAAGTCTGGAGTGGGGCTGGCACCCCACTCTCAGGGGGGATCCCCAAAGTCCAGGGTGGGGCTGGCACCCCACTCCAGAGGGGGTCCTCACGGCCTGCTGCGGGGCCAGCACCCCGCTCCCTGTGGGGGGTGCCCCTGGGGGCTGGGATGGGGTCAACACCCCAGTCCTGGGGGGGATCCCCGAGGCCTGATGTGGGGTCAGCACCCCAATCCCGGGGGGGGGAACACTCGGAAGCCTGAGGCGGGGCAGGCACCCCACTCCTGGGAGGATCCCTGGGGCCCCAGATGGGGCCGACACCCCTCTAGGGAGGGGGGAGGAC